ATAATAATTAGTATGACTGGAGATGTTTTACGAATAATGCGAGAAAAGAGATGAAACTTACTGAGCCGTTTGTCGTTGATGATGGTGTTGTTGTTGTGTTTTGGGCGTTTCTCGATCGGTTATTGTGTACTTGAGAATCATTGATAGCATTGTTTGTATTGTTGCTTGCTTGTTGTTGTTGAACCTGTGAGGAATGCGTTGTAAGGGTAACATATACGAGAATTTTACGTACTGTTTGAGTAGCACAACGAAGAGCTTCTAGCACTGCTAAAACTTGGGTAGGTGATAGAATATTAGTCTGATATAATAACAAGAAGAGGTAGAATTAACGGGATTGTGAGGTGTCTATTTACCTGGTTGTTTGAACTGGTCGAGTTTACATTTTGATTCTCGCCTTGTACATTATTAGCAATATTAGGACCTAATTCGATATGGAGAATAAAAATGTTGAAAGAACCTACGAATATATGAGTAAATAAAAAACACTTACGAGCAGGATTCGGTAGATTTTGTGCAAAGGGTCCTTGGAGGTGTGGTTGTCGAACGTTAATGCCGTTTGCGTTGATGGGTTCGGGTTGGATCCTGAAGAGAATTATAACAATGTTGTGAACTTGTTCTGTTTACGCTTGACTGGCGATGATGGCGAGAAGTTCTGGGGTAGGACTAGCAGGGCGTAATGAGCAAACATGCAATTTGGCTTCGGTAATGGGACCAGTATCTTCGTTTGACGAACTTGATTGACCAGGCTTTACCCACGCAGTGCAAACCCAGCCTCCATGATCGTTGACTGTTTGTACTACATTGCGTACGTGCTTCCGCATTTTGAGACCACTCAATGGGCATGTTCCCTGAAAGTAAACAATATAGAGTTACAAAAATGAAGCAACTTGAAATCGGATCCATGATTACCTGTATGATTTTGCGGTCTGCAAAAAGCAAAGTGAGTTGGTGACTGACGATTTCAAATGACTGGTTCAGTACGTCACTCTTCAGAGTGAGTGAGAGTGCCCATTTTCGTAGGGTACGATCAACGGATTCACATGGACACTGCTTATTCGCCGGTGTCTGTGCGTCGCAAAGCACGCCAGGGCAGCGATCTGTAACAACCCCAGAATGAACCAATTCTAATTGAGGAAGAAAGAAATGGTACATCTGGAATTGAACGGAAAGCTCGATGGCCTTTGGGAGTTTGCCAAGTTCCTCATTGGCATCTACAGGGATGAGCCTATCAGAGGTTCTGATAAGTTTAGTGCCTCCTGGTAATATGCCAACCGTTTCGGGTTCTACCACTGCTATTAGGGCTCCAGGGAATATGTCTCCGTGAAACTTCAAAAGCAGTGTGCTTTCAGAGCTGGTTCTGGTAATCAAAGCAACAACTTCGCCAGAAAGAATACAGCCACAGAGTATCCATTTATGGTAGGACTGCTCCACGGTCATTTTTTTCTGGTTGCTATTACTTTGATTAGGTTGGAAACGAGCGAAACGGATGGGCTTCTCAGGGGCGGCCTTGCAGTGCAGGATACGGCAAATAAGTTTTGAATCCGTGGTACCGTCACGGCCAGAGGCGGGAAGATCACTTGCTGGGATTGTTGTCAGCTCGATGACTTCTTGCATGGCTTCGGCATCGTCAGTGCTGAGGATTGACATTTGAAAGATAGGGGTAGGTAAATTTTAACTAATACGAGAATGTTGCAGTATGAGATTATATCCGTAAGATTATGTGATACATGGTGTTATGACAGATAGGAAGCTGGCACGTGTTCATTGTGATATGTATTTAATTAATCAGTAGTTTTCGTATTATTCTTGTGTTAATGATCGTGGTGAAGGACAGTAGTATTCATTGTTCAGAGAGAGTATGTTGTATTGCATAGTTGCATAGTGGAAGTAATTACAAAGTGACGAATCGAACATGGAACGTAGATCAGCACGTGATCAACAGATGATATACATTTCTGAGTTATTTAGTAAATTGAAGAATGAAAAACTGAAAATAGTGTACTCGGATGACTTGAGATATATAAGTGAAGTTGGATAGAAATTGAGTGATTACTAAAAAATTTTGAGAATGTTGTTTACTGTGAATTTATAGAAATACTATGTTGGTTCGACATTGTCGGGTAAATTTTGTATAAAATTGTTATTAGAAGGCTCTTTTACTTATTTGTCGTAACAGGGCATGCACTAATTCAGTGAGTCATGATGGAGGTTCTCGCAGATACTTGTATTAATAAACCGTGAACGACTCACAAAATTCACACATTACATAGTCTTCTGTATATTCTGTGAGATAGGCTGTCTGGTTTAGTAGCATATATAGAGAGCATAGATTATCATAGACATTTAGAATAAACAATAGCTGAAGACTATCTGTATTGAACTGAGAAACTGCACGCAAGACTGAAATGTGAGTATTTCAAAGTAGAGAAAATGTATTTTGTACTACAGATGATGACTGGTCGGCCGGCACCCCACCTTGCGGGGCCCCACCGGCCTCCCAGAGAGTATTTAATCAACAATACAGGTATCCTATACAGATGAACGTACGGTATAACTATTTACAAATCACCTATACTTGGCACCGGTAAGCAAAGTACAGATTACAACTATTACGAATGATACTCGAAATGTCACTAGAAGCGCAGTTCCATAGGGTATGTTGTCACACCGTAGGACAGATATTACGGGTATTCTGGAATACGTTGTAGTTATGAGGCTGGAACTTAACCTACATAGCTTGTAACCAGTTCCAACTCTGGCCAAATCTTGAGTTTTTACCTCATGAAGTATCACTGATAACGAATTTAGCATACATTGATTCTTAATATTGAGTTGGTCAACGACAAAGAGCAGAGACAACTAGATGAAGTTGTCATGAATGTTGGGTTCCTTCGCTAGTCTCGTGACCGAATGGTGAGGTAAGCGGCATAGGAAGCAGCCTATGTTGCGGTGATGGTGAAGTAGACACCTTCATCACAACGGCCTCTGTCATGTAAACTCTCAACGAACTGTATGACAGGATGAACCACATCATTAGCAATTAGTTTTTATAAAAATGCTCTGACGTGCCATTTTATATCAAGAACAAACGTACACGTTCATACTGATATCGGATCAGTTACATAGGGGTAGTCACTGTCAATTTGCAGAGAATCTGAACCTTTGATTTGTAATCGATGCTAAGGGTGGAGCTATCGCGCTAGGATGAAACATTTCTCATAATCATTCAGATAGGTTGATCACCGAACTTTAAGCTTTGGTGTAAGTCGTAGGAGGAGAATAATGAAAGGAATAATGAATAAGTGAAGATACACATAGTATAAACAGACGAAATAACAATATAGCAGACAGATATATATCAAATAGGAAAGAAGCGCAAAGAATGCCCTACCGGAAGCAAATTACTTCTGATAGACCCCGAAGGGTTATAGAATATTCTCCACAAGTGGCTTACCTGCTGCAGTCTAAACGCTCTGATGTGAGTAACCCTCCGGGGTAAGAACCTCACGAGCTGGAGACGACTATACGCAACAGGTGTCTTGACTCTAGTTTAGTAAAGGAAACAGGAGTCAGAAGCCGCATTCCGTACGCGTACATATTCTATATACATGAAAACAATATACATCGAATCCACAGCCATATATATATAATGCCCTATTAAATTACCTATAGTCAATTCAAAGGTCCCCACACTGAACCAGAATCAGATCAGGAAAGTCATCTTTGAGATAATGGTTGAAGGTGAATTCCCATGAATCGAGAATCTGTGCAGGAGTTGGACTCTGGTTATTGAGAGCCTTAGATGTTGCATCCCAACAGTGTTCAACACGTTGGCGATTTTGCTGATTTCTGTTATTGTCAGCCGATTCTCTAAACCCTACGACATAGGCGAGGACGCCCCAGGGAATCAAATGTGTTGATCTTGTAAAACCGGCAGCAGTACCTTCATTATGTTGGTCTACTCGTCTCGCTAGACGATTGGTTTGACCTATATAAGAATAAGATGGATTCTTGGTGGAAACTAGTAGGTAAACATAACTTGAATACTCATTTGGTATGGGAGTATCACGAGGTCTGAATGGTCGATCACGGAAGAGAATCCGAGGAGGGCCGTGGAAGTTCAAGAGTGCGTTGGCATTCGACAGTTTTCCTACAAGATGCCGGACGTATCCGTCCCATTGAGTCGATTGTACAAGGAGACTCTTAATAGCATCCATGATGTCCCGCTTGGGACCAACAAAAATAATGTTATTCATCTCTCTTACACGGGAAATGATAACATATAACTGCGACTTTAGCCAAAGCTTGTAAGTTGAGTCATGTACAGATATTTGAGTAGCCACCATGCCTAAGGTGTCACCCATGATCTTATGAATAGTAGAAGCTATGTAATGTCTTATGGGATATTGTTCCCTCCTCACTAACATATTTCTTTCTATTCGTTCAGGGATTGTAAACATCTTGGTTACTCGTAATTCTACCCATCCTTGGTCAACGAATTCTTGATCTGAGGAAGGAATAGTCCTTCTACCAGGTGGAGCTACCCATAAACCTACAGACCCTCCATTAATAGGAAGCTCCCGTACAATGCACAGTTGACTCTGATGGAAAGCCCTTCTGGATGGTATATCGTTACATGTGAATCGCATTACAGCTCCAACATATAGAGTGATCTTCTGCGGAGTCTGTAGCTTTCGATTCATCTTCTTAACCACCCAAGTGTGTCCGACAGAAGACCAGACATGACCTCCATCAAGAGTGTATTGGTCCGTAGATTCTACGATTACTTTATTAATAGTGGAGTCAGCCATAATACGATCTAGCTGACGCTGAATTGCACTCTGTTCAGCTTTATGGCGACCGAAGATCTGGAGAGCCTCAGCTGGTACATGATCCCAGTTATCTATGAACCGGCATCGATGATCAATGAGGTCTTGTATCCGTTGAATATCAGCATCTGTAGGTTGCAATTTCTGGAAAAGAGTAAGAACTTCTTGAAGATCACGATCGGTAGAAGAACGAACAAATTTGTGAAGCATTGCAAGCCGCATAGTTGTAATAACCGATGGGCTGGTCCAAAGTAATGTCTCTTTGATAGGAGGTAGCTGATTGGGATCACCACTGCCCATGACGAGTACTCCACCGAAAGGAAGCGGAGATTTATGCAAGAACTGTAAGATCTTGTTCTGGACATCCAACGTTTCGGCTCCTTCTGTACCTATCTCTTCATGAATGAATACTTGAATTGATCTGAGCCATTCCATCTTTACAGGATCACGTGCTAAACGAGTTAAGGCTCTCTCAGCCAGACTCCGGGGAGCAAGGTCAGTCGAAACTGGTATGGAAAATACCAGGTGAATATGCTCACCACCCAGAGCAGCAGCTCTTTCACTTGCAACACTAGTAACAATAGTGTTTAACCCTTTGGCTAAAGCATATGCTCCCCAGTGAGCAGTGATAAAGCTTTTACCGCTTCCTGGAGGACCAAGTAGAATAGGTGCACGAACGAAAGCGAATTGACCTGATCGGAATTCATCAATTGCACGAATTCCCATTTGTAAGGCGTTCTGCTGTTCCTGAAGAGACTCTATCGACTGTGTGTCCCCACGTTGCAGATCCGGAACCCAAGCAAGAGGATCTTGCATTGTGGCATGAATCAACTCATCCACTGAAGGCAATCCATTGATGGGATCGCTCAAATAATGCAGTGCGTCCGCGAAATTCTTCCTAGTGTTGAGCTTCCTCCTGTTCAATGCCTCGACAGCTTCTCTCGCAAGCTCATTTCGCAGAATCAAGGGGGTAGCAAAAAATTGTAGTTCACCATCAATCAGGAGCGATTGCAAAGCATTATTTGCATGTACAAGGTGACGGTCGAATGAAGTAGTGCCACCTGGCATGTAGAGCAGCTGTTCCATAACGTAACGTCGGAGGATAGAGTCCTTCTCTTGTCTAGTAGGCGCATTAAAATCCGCTATGAGGTTAGCGTGATAAAACGCTTGGCGCAAGTTGGCCACATCAAAAACACCCACCTCGGTCTGGTATCGGCCCATAGATAGAATTATGTGGATTAGAAATCTATCAGCATACCTTGGCAGAGGATTTGAAAGAACAGCTATCCGTGGCAAATAATCACCTTGGGCAACGAATATATTCAATAGTTCGGTAGGCGGCTGATCTTCCAAGAGGGGGTCGAGAATGTCATGAATAATAGACATAACTAACTGCCTTTGCTGATCATAATGATATGCATGGGAATTAATATAAGTCAAAGCTGCTTGTCGAACACGCGAAATACAGCTAGGTAAGAGCTTGACTTGCTTGTCGAACCCGTCTATCCATGGACATTCTGACAGTTCTAGACGAAGAAGCGCTTCATTTACTTCCTGAATTTGATCACCATTTCGAAGCGTCGACTTCGGTACTGTCATACGATCGACACATTCAAAATAGTCTCTGACCGAATCAAGAAAAAGAAGCTCTGGGGGGCGAACACTGAAGATGCATATAGCATCTGGCATTATGTTACTCTCACGGGCATCACAGATTGTATAGAGTTGAGCATTGAGGATTTGTCTTTCATGAGGAAATCCGAGTGCTTCCCGAACTTCAAATCCTGCTACTGCTTCCCCTTCGGCACCGGGGTGAACATAACGCCGTTCCCTTTTCATGATAGCTGACCTATCTTGTTTATATCCTGTATTGATATGAACATACTTTGAGCATGGGTGAACATATTTGAACTTAAGTACCCAGAATGCTGCTTCTGTCAGTGCTAATGTTCTTCCTTCGATCGCTGTACTTTGAATTTCCTTCCTTTTATCTGATTCTGTTGCGATAGCAGCTCCAGTGATCTTAAAATTCCGAAGGGAATCTTGAATAACTGACACTGTATTCTGAGTTCGGCCACACTTGAGGAAGACTCTGGCGCGTTCCTCCTCGCCTGCTGCATACTTTGCGAGATACCTAGCGGTGAAAGTAGGGCTGCATATTTGAATATTATCACTACTTTTCGCAGCAGCGAATATCCAGTCATTGAAAGGAGATAGTCGCTCAGAACGCTGCGCCGGATACATATGCTTACGCGCTTGCAATTCTTTAGAAACCATAAGGCCATGATTACCACCAGGTCGAATTCCCTCCTCAGCAAGATGACAATCGTGAAGGATTTCAAGAGCAGTTTCAGAATGTTCGACATAAATTATGTTACTGGAGTAAATCTCTGAGGCGGGCCGCTGAGGGAAACGGCAAATCAGTTTGCCATCGCTGTCCCTTTTTTTAGCACACCTATAACTAGCTTTCTCACAATTATGCTCTTGCAGCTTACTGGCAAGAGTTCTCAACGTCAGAACGTCATCAAAACCTTCTATAAGACCAGCGTCTTTGAATCTCTGCCAGTCATAAAAGCTGTGTTTAAGAGTAGTACAAACCCTGCTGCGAACTGCAGTTGATTCGGGATCTTCCCCTGTCCATACTAAAGCATGAATATGAGGCAAATTTCCCCGGGTTGTCTGGAACTCCCATCTCCACCATAACTTTTTTACAGGTCCTAATGGTTGCTCAGGGGAGTCCCTAATATAGTCCATAAGATAGGTACCTGCTCTCTCCCATGCACGAACCATTGCAATCAACGAAGCCTGGACAGCGCTATCCTTCACCTCTTTCGAACATCCACGATAATGATTCTCAATCCAATCGAAGATAGGTTTAACTCCGAAATGTTCCGATTGGTTACAACTGTGAGTGTAGAAGTAAGTTGGTTGCTCCTTAGCAATTTCAGCAGCCAACTCGTTGACTCGCTTTCTGGAATCGGCTTCACCGAAAGGCAAACGACCTTCAGTTTGCAAGGTTTGATAAGTCGACTGATCCGATGATAAATGCTCCCAGCCTCGCGACAATATGATACGAGTATCAGATCGAGAAAGTTGGAGATTGAATAAAGCATCGAAATAAAATTGGAGAACTCGAGGGTCACTTGATGTTAATAACGTGGGATCTAGCAGACGTGTCCTAATGTGAGAAGCCAGGTCAGCGAATCCAGCCTTCTTGCAGGATGCTGCATTTGTCCAGAAACAGTGAGGGAGAGCACCAATGACAGTTCCATCCGCCATAGACTTCCAGAAAATGCTCGGAAAGAGCATTCCCTCTGGATATAGGAGGGGGATGGAAGCTCCCACGAATCTTGCCGTAACGCGTTGAAAAAACGCCGCTTGCTTACTACTCACATAATTAGCATGCCCTGACCTCCTTAACAACCCAAAATGTTTATTGAGTAGAATATGGCCAGGTACCCCCGAAATAGATTCCTGCATAATAGGAATATCGGCAGCATTGGTCGCCGGCATGCAAGGTTCCCGATCAATCAGCTCGTCGTCATCTACAACATCTTCACTAATATCAAAATCTGGATCCATGAGCAGTTGGTCACCAATCTGTGATGCATTATCATCCGATTCATCATCCTGTGCTTCTATCAGAGCTGCAAGAGGATCGACATGCTGTAATTCATCACCGTTCTCCCATAATGGGGGCGGACGAAGAGCATATTGTGCAGCATGCATTGGACGGGCCTGAATGCAATAGATCTGCTGATTAGCATAAGCACGATCAAGCAGGTCCTTGCTGTGACCATTACATAAGGCACAAATACATCCTTCTACTGGACAAGACCATTTGCCTACACGATCACAGATAAAGTCACCATTGTCGTCTGTATAACAGCAACGCTCTCTTGCTTGACCATGGAAGATCGGAGTGATAGTCAAAGGTATGTTATGTGCACGGCATATGAAGGACCCTTGCCCTCCAGTGTATTGCAAATACTTCAATTTAGCATCTAACCTGTAGCCTCCAGCCGTGCGGACATAGATGAGGCACCCCCAAGACTTATATATTTGACGAAGGCTTTCTTCCGTTGGAAGACCAACTTCCGAGATAACAGACGGCCTGCGGGTTGATCTGAACCAAGACTCATAGGGTCCTTCATTTCGAAGAAAGCAAGTAGCATTCCAGTTTCGATCACGTAAATGACCTCCTTCCGGATTTTCCCAGGGGCTATCAGCGGTACCGTCCACTTTCAGCAACGCTACCAGCTCCCATTTAGAGTCACCGTACAGAATAAAGTGGTGAGGAAAAGTTGTACGTCGGGCTGTAGATGTAATGGCATCGGTGCAAATACATAATACCCTACAATCATGCACTGCATCGTTGTTAGGCATATCCGCTAACATGTGGCTTACATAATTGGCATCAATAGAACTTGCACGGGATGGCTCGTACTTTACGCAAGTATATGGTAAGGTTGTCAAGAATCGCGCTAATAGAACTGATGTGTGACAACACGCATTATCAATAACAGGATCAGGGATGAGTCCGTGCACTGTGCCGGCTCTGTTCCGAAGTAATTTCTGAACTGCTACCGGGTTCTGTCGCCGATTTCGGATTACTTCCCCAGAATGAAACATACTTCCTAATGGCAAAGATGCAGCACAGTACGACTTGATATGAGTGATCGACATAAGTTGCTGTTCATCATTCAGATCTATAGGTTCAGCATCTGCTAAGCACTTCCACAGAGGAGGAAGAAATGATACGAGCCTTAGACAAGCCCACAACAATGGAAGGAACTTGCCATTAAACGTCTTCAGTAAACATGGTCTACATCCGAATGCATCGTAGGACTGTGATATAGCATACGCAAGAGGCCATCCAGCATATCGTCTTGCACCTTCTTCCTGACTTTCAGGACCGTGCTGTGGATCCACGTTTCCATCGGCGGCAAACTGTTCATGGTTATCATCGTAAGAAGCACCAGGTAAAAAATCCTGATGTGCCTCGTTATGATTGTCATCCTCATCAAGATCACGTACCACAACTGAAACATTATGCTTCATACTATTGAGCACCTCAAGAGATTGTTGTAGAGTCACATAGGTGGCTCCAGCCAAAGCTGAATCACATTTTTCTGGTGACGGTTGACAAATATGTTCTAGTGATTGCAAAGGTACAACGCTGAAGGGATCTCTTGAATATCTAGATCTCACGAATGCATTTAGATCAGGGCGGTTGAAATAATAAAGAGACTCAAGGTTAGCATGGATATTGGACTTAATATTCCACTTTGGAGTGGTAGTCAAAGAAAACGACGACAATCCACTGAAGCCTCCTTGCACACATCGCATTTGCCAAGTATGCGAAGAGTATTTTGCTTTCATCCCCCGAAAAGGTTTAGGAGAGAATATGGCTGGAGTAAGTTGATCACTGTAAGGGCTACAAAAGGTCCCATGAGGATTGTGTGGTACATGAACATACGACTTAGACGAACCCTTGTCATGGAACTGACAAGTGCATAACACCAATCCTTTATCTGTGACTCGCACAGATGCCATGACTGTGACGCCATACTGACTGAATCTCTGCGTGAAATCTTGTCTATAACCTTTAAGGTAACGGTCAGCATTGGCGCCAAATGCATTGACATGTGAGAAGCGAGCACGAAGGAAATGCTGATAGGAAACGGACCCCACTTTCTCTATATATTCCGAACACCCGAAGGGACATCTAACGCTAGGTACTGCTGTATCATCCAAAGCCTTTCTGATATCTGACAACCTCCTTGTACTCATAAGGTCATGAAATGCCTGAAGCTCAGTGGTAATATCTTTAACGTATCGGAGTGTATTATGAAGAATGTTGTCGCATTCTTCACGCGACACATGATTACGTGCAAACATTTTTTCACGAAATGCTCGTCCCCACGTCACAGAGAACGCCTGTGGAATATAAGCAAGCCTGTTCTCGAAATCTGCTGCATTGGCAGATTGTAGAACAAAATGCGTGAAGAACGCCCTCCAACCGTATGCCCAAATAGCATTTTTATTGCCTAAACCCCTTCGCAGACGTTGAGGAATTGATTCACTTGATGCATCACTTGATAAATCACTAGATGCATCGTATGAATCAAAGTTAAATAACTCAACCCCACCAGTGCTACGAGGACTAGCAATGTTTCGGGCATTATCAAAACGATGTGGCTGTGGATTACGATGTACATCGAAACATACATAATGTGAACATGTAACACATAACAAAATGTTGCCCCTTATACGACGATCTACTTGGGAAAACATCCTATAACCTACATTCCTATTGTCATATTCATGTACAGGTATAATACATAAACAACAGAAACAGTACCTCTCTAAAGGCTCATCGTCAAATAAAAGATCAACGATATGACTATATCCAGTAGCACTACTGTCAGGACTACGTGTATTATGAGATATGCGATTAGCACTAGCACTATCATCCACACCCCTCACGTCGAATGTAACAGGCTGAATATCATGTGGCTGCTGCTGCTGCTGCGATGAATTCCCTTGCACGTATAATGACGTTGATGGAGGTACGAGGCTTGACAAGTGCTGGGAAGTAGTAAGAGCCTACATAACAAAGACTAAGTATAACTGACGTAATTGCAGAAAACTGTAGAACAACAATATGAGTGAAAGACAACGTTTGAAAGTACTTACGTCGCCAATCGGAGCGGCTTCCGCGCGAGAAAACTGTTGCTGACAATTAGTTGGCTGAATAGAAGCAGCCGAAGGAGTGAACGACTGCGACAATGCCGAATCAACAACTTGTCCCTGAGATACAAGGAGACATCGACTTGTATAACGTTAATCAATATGTTCAATCTAACACGACAACAATATCTACCTGACGTGCAGCACAGATACGGCACGGTCCTTTGCCCTTGAACTTTCCGCAAACAGGACATTTCTCAACAACTTGACGACGACGAGGAGCCATGATTAGGATCTACACATCATCGAAATAATAACCATGTATGACACACGATTAAGCATAGAAGTAAAGCTCAGCTTGAACCGTTACAATCCTGACTACGAGTGTTACTTACTCAGAAGATAACGGACGATGTTTAGTACTACAGGGATGACAAGAGTAGTACGGATGCACAGTACACTCTGGTGTGAATAATAACTGAAAAGGACACGATTTCAAATTTGTAAAACTATAAAACCATACGAAATGCATAAAACTGTCACAGCTGTAAGAGAAACGCGAAGAATGCACCCTAAATAAACATAACCCCCATACAAACCAACACAACACTTAGAATTGTCAATGACAAACATATCTCAAATGAAAACTGAAAAGCGATCATTGACCCCAGATAAAGTAAAGATTACACTCCAATGGTTGAAGCATGTTAACCCGTAACAAGACGATGAACGACTGAAAAAACTAGTGAAAATACTACACGAAAATTCGATATTTATACTTGATATTGCTAACATCAAAGCTAAGTAGTGTTACTAATCGATTACAGATACAAGTATTACAAGCTTCCGATAAGTCAAATTCATAACTTACAACTTGTACTCGATCATTAGAGTAAACATCACTAACTACGTTAAACTCACATCCCACAAAACAAAGGATAAAAGTTTCATATCATGTTATATAAGCATAACCCTCATGTCATATAAAAATGACTTTCGTGAAACGATAACATTTCTGGACTACGAAGAATAACAATCTTGCCTCTAAACGAAATCCAATTGTTGTAGAGGATAATTCATTATCAGCTGTATGCAAAATAAACAGCTCTCACAACACAGTATCGTTGTGCATGGAATAAACAAAAACGGCTTCGAAATTCACCCAGTAATTTCCATCAACAGCATGATAGCAGTATTACAGCACTGCCAACTGGAACGCCTCTGAAACCATTCCTAGATGTGTGATACGTAAACAGAAAATGCTAATAAAATACGATACCTAATACAATACGATTATTTCGAAATCGAATAACTGGAATTAAAATACAACAGAAATCTCATTCATCTTACAACCAGTAAGATAGACCATCAGTGTAAAATATTACAACCAAAAACCAGTAGAAATAAACACAATGAATACACTGTAATATGCAAACACTAGAAATACCCAGCTCTACGGTATGTCGCCAATATGTCGACAAATATCAAGGAAAAATCTGATAAGCAATATTCCAATAATAAACTAATACCCTATCATGAGACACCCCTAGGTATACGTGAGGCACTGGTCATAAAACTTGACGTAACCGTTGCCTATACATAAAATAAAAGTTCAAATATAATACATAATCACGAATGACTATATGTATTTAAACACTGCCGATAGATCGTTCCTTCCATCACACACACTTCCCCCCCAATACTACAACTCAACTCCCTCCATCATCAACCCCACTTTCCAGTAATCCACAACGTTTGCTACTTAGGTGCTGCGGCATCATACCACATACCTGCTACGCTCAAAAACACGACATACATCCTAAGAATAACTCAACAAGATAGTCACCAGAAAATAGTATTCATGAAACACAACATAAACTGTAAAACCAATAAGAAGCTAACATAAATCACATAAACTAACGATATCGATCGAATATACGACGTGAGAAGTAAGAACATCATCAAAACCAGAACACGCTAGAAGGAACTCCTAGGAATACAGCAAATTCAGACTTCCTAACAATGCAGCAATAATCCCTGCCCGTCATTACTATTGAAGAACAAGAAATAAGCACTTCCTCACAACATATACCTTCCCGCCAGAAGTTGCAGAAGAATTACTCCGAAATCCAAACTCTGAAAAAACTAAACATACCTAAACATTAACACACATATGCTGAAGAACAAGCTACCACCAAACTTGTCTTGTCAGAAAGAAAATGTTAGTAAACAGCTCATACTTTCCACGAACATAATACTCTCCAACAACTCGTAATTAGTGATATAACCTTCAAACATGCAATTCTAAATATCGTATCTCCCACCTAACGATCAATGGATACTCCATTCGTTCCATGGAGTATACAACGTAAACTTAAACCCCTCCCTAAACAAGAAAAAGATGTGTTCATGGTGCAGACAAATATACAACACACATGATAAGAAGAGCAACACACAAATACCATAAGGTTCAGAAGTAGATAAAAATCGACATTGAACCGAAAACGACATCACACTCAGCCATTCTCAATAAAACCGCACTCTCACACTAATCAGCACCTATCCTAATAAACTAATTGTAATTACCAAGAAATATGTACTGATTTTTCTCTCTTCCCCTCCACACTACCACTTGTAAGACACATTTCCACGCAACTAACGACTCGTCAGTAACGAATATAACACACTTTGAAATATAAAGAAAGTAAATAATTAGTAATATTAGACGAAAGACTCAAACCCACATCCTACTACTAAATAAAGATATTACCTTCCCACTACTCCGCTTGTATGCCCGAGATCTTGAAATAGATTCAACTACACCACAAGATAGATAATCACTACACACATGAACACGAAGAAGATACAAATCATGATATCAATAAAATGAAGAAAAGAAATAGTCCAAAAATCGAACCTTATACCTACCCAAATCCACCTCGCTCCGCCGTTACGCAACACCAAAGTTTTTCGTGACGCATTTTCGCATAAAACGTGAATTGACAAATTATCGTGATCTATTTCTCATGAACAAATTCATAAACCAGAATTCCGAGGCCAGATATAGCCTTTACAGACCCGTATATACCAGGAGGGTGAAAATGGTGAAGATTGAATGGCGATTGGCCGAAATCGCCTTCGCATCCGCCCAACTTCCCTGTGAGTACATGGGAGAATTTTAGCGCGCGCCCGGGGCCCCTCCCCCTACGCGCGGGACAGTTCGATATGTCAAAAGGACTTCCATCAAGGGTCCGGTGCGAGAAGGTATGAGGACGCTAGGTGAAAAATGAGAGCCACAAGCGTGCTTCTTCGAAGCCAAAACGGCACTGCCGTGATAGCAATTAACTTGTGATGCACATTTCAATCTTAGAGGCCTATGGAGCAGTACTTCTCATATGATGAAAGAAACGGACGAAGAGAAAAAGCAAATAAAGGCATTACTGCTGCTGGGGCGGTTCGGCCAGAAAATCTGTCCGAACCGCCAAGTAAGTGTACAGGCGTGGTGAGCTAGAGAAAAAGTGATATCAGGTATAATAGGTTACCAACGAGACTTACTAAATATATTTTGTTACATACTTATCTCAAGAAAA